TCTCTCAGAGCCTTGATCTCGCTTTTAAGTCGAGCGATCTATTTGTCCACTTTGGTTAGTAGGTTGCCTCTTCTGGCCAGCATACTTTCCGCTAGGTCTGCTTCCTCGAGACAAAGTGTCGGCGATGAATAAAACTGCTGTGTGCTTCAAGTGTGACGCTGCTTATCCTAAGAAGGACCAGCAGGTATTTCCTTTGGACAGGTAGCAAGACTTTGTGATAACACGCATTAAGAGCTTTACTGCTTATCCTAAAAATGGCTAGCAGTTATTTGCTTTGGGCAGGTGACAGGGATTGGCCGATTGACCGATTTATAGAATCATCGATATCAGGCAGTTAACGGTGTCTTCATCATTGTGGCTGTCAGGAAGAGACAACTCGGTGGCGTGAGATCATCACTAACAACCATAAACAAGGAAACTGCTGTCACTACTTTCTGTCATTAATGTCTGTCACTATTGTCTATCTTTACTGTCTGTCACTATTGTCACCACTGTCTATCACTAATGTCTGTCACAATTGTCTATCTTTACTGTCTGTCCCTATTATCATCACTGTCTGTCACCACTGTCTGTCACTATTGTCACCACTGTCTGTCACTAGTGTCACCACTGTCTGTCCCTATTGTCTGTCACTACTGTCTGTCACCACTGTCTGTCCCTATTGCCTATCACCACTGTCTGTTATTATTGTCTGTCACTACTGTCTGTCACCACTGTCTGTCCCTATTGCCTATCACCACTGTCTGTTATTATTGTCTGTCACTACTGTCTGTCACAACTGTCTGTCACTATTGTCTGCCACTACTGTCTGTCACTATTGTCTGCAACTACTGTCTGTCATCACTGTAATGAAATATAGGCAGAAAGGGGTTAAATGAACAAAGCATACATTTCAGACCACCAACAAGGCATACTAATCCATCACCGTGTGACATGACAAAAATGGGTAATTAGAAAGCTGGCCTGGCCAGCGATACAGAACATCTGCACGATGACCAGAGTTGAATTGAGTGCGGTTATCATGGTAAAACCATGACATCTGACAGTGAAGGATGGAAACATACTACAGAGAGGGAGGTGAGCAACGCGATGCACGTGTCCAACTGAAGAAACGTTTATCCAAACGTGACCACCGGAGACAGATGACAGGGAGTGATTGAAAACGCACGCGAGAAAGAGAGGGAAAGCGAGGGGTGGTCAGCGAGGAGCGAGCGGTTGGAGAGAACAGTTAGGATGGGACCGCTTGAGAGAACAGTTAGGACGGGACCGCTTGAGAGAACAGTTAGGACGGGACCGCTTGAGAGACCAGTTGGGAAAACTAGAGCTGTACTTCGTTTAGAAGCTATATATTAAACTTGTTTTAGAGAGACATACGAATAGCCAGTAATAAGATAATGAAGTGTTCCTATACTATTGGTTATTGAAATGATGCATTCTGTTTGACTTGATAATATTGTTAATAAATAAACTGCTGTGTAATTGTTACACCACTGGCCTTGTTCTTGAGTACGATTCAAGAGAGCTACGAACTGTATCCAGACACCTTGGCCGAATTAGGCACATCCATACTTGGGGGATGTCAAGACAACGACTGTGTCACACCACTGTCTGTGACTGTTGTCTATCACCACTGTCTGTCACTATTGTATTTCACCACTCACTATTGTATTTCACCACTGTCTGTCACTATTGTCTATCACCACTGTCTGTCACTATTATCTTTCACCACTGTCTGTCACTATTGTCTTTCACCACTGTATGTCACCACTGTCTGTCACTGTTGTCTATCACCACTGTCTGTCACTACTGCCTGTCGGCACTGTCTGTCACCACTGTCTCTCACTATTGTCTATCACCACTGTCTCTCACTATTGTCTATCACCACTGTCTCTCACTATTGTCTATCACCACTGTCTCTCACTATTGTATGTCACCACTGCATGTCACCATTCTCTGTAACATACGCTTGACTTTGTTGCACTAAGTGCCTGCCGTCCATCCGTTTTCGCACTGAACCCTCTCGCACTTCTGCCTTCCAACACAGAGCCATCCGTATTCTCCGAATTACTTCTAGTCAATGTTGTAATGTCTAGGCTGAATGTTGATTGTTGAATTAAGAATCAACATCATAGCACTCGGGACACTTCCATAAGTGCTCCATCACCATGTTCAGCAGCAAGCAAAGAGTTCAAATTTCGATAGGACCAAGCTGGTGGTTACTGAAGTGTTTTCAAGACCAAGCCAACTATGTGGCCTAGGAGGTAATTTTGTCCATGCACAATTATGCACACTTCAAGATCCAAGACAGAATTCCTAATCAATTTCGCACGGGAACAGTCGGTAAAGTGCATTGGCGTCGATGATGATAACATTACACTCATTGACTTTCATATTGACCGTAGATGAACAGCAGGGAACATCAGAACAGGAGCCTTGACACACAGGGTATGCTCAGGGGCCTCAGCCTATTTACCGATTGTCGTGGGTTGGGAGCCTCATGCAATGAGTTGGGTTGTAATACATCGTTGTCTAGGTGGTGTTTATGTGTGTGTTGTGAATGTTCCTATCACACACTTTACGTTACATAACTGGTACAAGCCGACACCGACTTAGCCGTACGAAACATAAGTTTATTGGCATGTTATAACTTACATATGAGTCAAGTCGATGTCCTAATAACGGCTTGCGCACACCACTTCAGGCAGCCTTTAACTCGCAGGTTCCTCACTCATTCACCGACCAGAGTCTACCCTGATGACTCTCGTTGATCTTCGGAACATTACACAGAATGGCCTGGCTGATCTTGACTTCACACGTCGTCGTATGATTCTCCTTTCACCACAGCAATCTTACGTTGACATTCATACGCTCAGACTCCCGTCCTTTAGCTCCAACAAGTCGACACAAACTAACTTGACCAGAATCAAGTCTGAATTTATACCACGGATAAGTTTCACGTGGCCTCACCTGGTGGTCCTTTACTTCCACGTGGCGACCTTTGGTCGCGTCATCGTGATACACGTGATAACTCGTGGTCATTACCTATCTCAAGACCCTCGTTTAATCCGAGTATCTGGAATATCTCGGTGTTTTGGGTTATCCTTGGGCCTACCCCCCCCCCCCCCAACCTTCCTAATCTGGGTGAAAATATCCCCTATTACACCTCAATTGGCCTAACATTTTCGTGTGTGCATGGTGATGATGTTGATGCCCCAAGATAACTGTCCTTTATGGTTGAACGGGGATTTGAAGCTGTTTGATTCCTACCCTTGAGGTGTTCTTCCTATAGAATGCAAACGAGGGGAAAAGGAGGGGGGAGGGCGTGGTGGGATTTAACAGCCTGGAAGGGGAGATCCTTAACCTGGGGTTAAAGGTGCCTTCATAAATATGGCTCCAAGCTATAGACAACTGGGTGGCATGAGATTATCATGAGTAGCAACAAACATAAGGAAACTAACAATTATGAATAATTATTTATATAAATTTAATAACACCATTATTTGTTATAAATGAGTGAAGATATATACACACAACAATATATATATATATTGACAGAACGGGAGCTGAGGTCTCGGGGCATGGTGTCTGCCTCGAGTGCTGCAGGTCCCGGGTTTAGACCCCGCTGGAGGTTTAGATGTTTTCACGTGGACTTCTAGTCACTTTTTCCTAGTCCTTGGGTTGTAAGACCCGACGCCCGTGTGTTTGCTGCGCACGTAAACAAATAATTTGACAGTTGGAAATCGAAAATTGTAGCTTAACTAGCGGGCAAAGTTTAGAGTTACAAATCTACCCAAAGTATTTCAGGATCCTAGCTAGTGCTGTAGAGTTCATGCAATGGGTGAAAACTTCGGACTTAGGATTGAGTTAGACGTAGAACGGAACACTTATTGGTTACTACCCGTGTGTCATGATGTTGATCCGTTGTATAAACCAACTAAACCATGTATTGAGAGAGAGAGAGAGATAGATAGAGAGAGAGACAGAGAGAGATAGAGACACAGAGGACAGAGAGGGAGGCAGAGATAGAGATAGATAAGAGAGACTAAGAGAGAGAGAGAGACAGAGAGACATATAGAGAGATAGAGAGACAGAGATAGAGAGACAGGGAGACAGAGAGAGATAGAGAGAGATAGATAGAGAGAGAGACTAAGAGAGAGACAGAGAGAGAGAGAGAAAGAGGGGGGACGCAGAGAGAGGTAGAGAGACAGAGATGAAGATATAGAGACAGAGAGGGAGATAGACAGAGAGACAGAAAGGGAGATAGAGACGGAAAGGGAGATAGAGAGACGGAAAGTAAGATAGAGAGACATAGAGGGAGATAGAGAGAGACAGAAAGAGAGAGAGTCCACAAATACTTAACACTAAAAGCACATTGGTTATTTCTTAGTACAAGTAAAACTCAAGGACCGTTTTTCCCTCCTTCAGACATATCGGGTAGACATATTTCAGAGACCTGTGGGCACTCGATGGATAATGTGGTCAGCATTATGCCAGCCGCCTTTACTTCTCATTGATTTACCTAGTACCCTTTTATGGTTGTGTTAACCTTGGTGCCAAGGTCATTTCTGAAAAAAGTCCGTTTTCGTCAGGATCTGAACCGCCATCTTCGGATTCGCAGGCGAGCGTCTAGCCACTACACCACGGAAGCTCTCGTTCTTTGTACCAGCAAAATGAAATTATACATTTGTTTAACGATTTTATGTATAATTAAAATTGGTGATTACCTTTTAAAAGCTGAAATGTATGAAACATGTAGTGTTAAATGTCTTCAAGAAACATTTTATTCCGATTACATATATAATAGAATTACACAAAAAATCTTAGAGTAATCACATATTCACATAAGCCAGTCATGGGTTTTATCGATACCATGATGGCACCATTCTCACCAAATATGCACTCTAAATTTTGTGTATTTCACTCGGCAAGGTATCGTTTTGAGAAATGCTCAATTTTTGAAGAATACAATAATCGTTCAGTAAACACACACGCATTAACATCTATATGTCAGTCTTTGGCATTTCTTGTGTTTCCTGTTTGCTTAACATTTCCTCTTCTATCTGCTTAAAAACTGCAGTTTGGGCCCTCAAAAGTTTGTCCCAGGCTTGTTCAATCTCCGGTGTGTACTTGTCACCCAGTAAGTATTTCACGAAGTTGAGAAATACTATTCGAAGTTTCTGAAAAATAAAAGAAATTCAGATGAATAAAGTAGAGCAATTTTTTTTTTTTTTTTTTTTTTGCAAAGTTTAAAAATATGGATGTACACGACTACAATTCGTATATTGATGTAATGTTATCTTGTAGCTCAGGCTGGATTTAGACCGGGAAGAGGAACAAGAGATCATATATTCAACATGCGTTTAATAATAGAGAAGTGTAGAGAATTTAATGTAAATCTGTTCTTATGTTTTGTGGATTATTCAAAAGCATTTGACTGTGTACAACATCAGAAGCTTTGGGAAATCATGAGGAATATGGGCTTTCCATCACATATAGTGCAGCTCATTAAAATGCTCTATCAAGACCAACAAGCAGCAGTCAGAATAGATGGAGAGACATCAGACTGGTTTGGCATCAAGCAAGGAGTCCGTCAGGGATGTGTGCTGTCACCGTATTTGTTCAACCTGTACGCCGAAAATATAATGAGAAATGTAAGAGATGATATAAACAAGGAACAATATGATGCCCTAAACATCGGTGGTCATGAAATACCAGAAATTCGTTATGCTGATGATACAGTATTACTATCAACATCACAAAATGGTTTAGAAAACTTATTAACCTCACTCCAAAGAAATAGTGAAAATCAATCATAACTTATTTCTTAACATAGCAAAAACAAAGATAATGCATACAAACAAAACTGCCATGGAGAAGGAAATATATGTTAATGAGGAAAGATTGGAAGTGGTGGAAAATTTCGAATATCTTGGGTCACTGGTTACCAACAATGGTGACACAATGAAAGAAATTAAACGGCGACTATCAATTGCTCTTCAAAGACTAAAACAACTGAATAAATTATGGAATTGTACAGATAGAATTACAAAGGTAAGATTTTTAAGAGCATGCATCTTTCCCATTGCAACATACGCCTGTGAGACCTGGACACTTACTAAACAAGCGGAACAGCGCATAAATGCATTTGAATATAAATGTTACAGACAGGTTCTAAGAGTATCTTGGGTAAAGAAAAGAACAAATGCATCCATACTTCAAGAGCTGAATATTGAAGAGGGTTGGCTAGTAAAGACAATAAAACAAAGAAAATTGAAATATTTTGGTCACTTGAAACGTCATGGGAGTCTAGAGAGAACAATAATGGAGGGGTATATGCCTGGGAAGAGAGGAAGAGGAAGGCCAAGGAGAAGATGGGTGCAGGATGTGGCAGATGTTCTCCAGATGGGTGTATCAGACGCAGGACATCTTGCTCAGGATAGGAAGGTTTTCCGGAGGGTTGTTATGGCAGCGAGGTTCCGCGAGGGACATGCTACTGAATGAATGAATGAATGTTATCTTGCGACGATTCATTTCACGATTTTGTCCGTAATAGTAACATTGTCTTTTCATTTGCTGTGCCACTAAAGGCTATTTTGCGGTAACGTTCCCTTGTCATGTGTGTTTGTGATATTGAGAAGTTGACTAGTCCTACTTTTCCAATGGTTTTATATCGTTCCGTAATAGATGGAAAGAGACAGGCAGACAGAGAGACAGAGATAGATGTCAGAGATGGGGGTGAAAGCGTAGTGGAGAAATGGATACAGAAAGAAACAGAAAGTGATGGGATAAGATAATAGGTATAAAAGAAATATAGGAGATAAAACATTTAGAGAGGCTAATGATTCACATATTACATATTGCCGTCTCTCTTAAGCGATACATTCAAATGTAAACAAAAAAAAAAAAAAAAAACGTACATCAAAATCATCAGCAGGTATTTTTTTGCAAAAGTGGGAGACTGAAATTTTCCTGACGAGGCCAACCAACATCTCTGGATCGTCTACGTTATCTACATACGAGGTGAGAGCATAGAAAACACTTGTGGCGTGGGCTTTCATCTCGGGACTCGTCCGCAGCTCGTCCAGTGTCTTGTCTTTGAACAGCACAAATCTGTCTTGCATGTGCGGGTAGGTTTCAAACAATCTGAAAGATGGAAGAACACATTCGCTTGTCTGCTGCTAGCTGTGTGGTATGTTTAGTCAATTGGTCGACATTGTTACCAAACACAGACGGTCTCGCCTACCCGGACAAGTGGCAGAAGCAATGCAGATGTCACAATAGCATCGTCATAATGAAAACATTATGGGTGGGCGAAGGAGGGGGTAGGGATGTAGGAGGGTAAAAGGGAAGGGGGGTGGGGTTGGTCTCAGTACTCCTACAATGTTCCAGAGGAAGAGCCTCGGGGGGTCCTAAGCCTTTTTTTAAGTGGTTGATAATAATAATACTAACCGGAATACCCCTAGGAGATGACAAAGAGCCCATGTATCTCAGAGTCACATTTGATGACCAGGAAAAAAGGGGCAGGGGCCGACCAACACGAAGATGAGCACAGGATATAAGTGACTCATTGAGTATGCAAGTACACGAGGCGGGAGAGCTGGCGAGAGACCGAGTTTCTTTCAGGCAGACCGTGATGAGAGTGACGTTCTGCAAAGGACCTGCTCCATGATGATAATGATGATCCAACAGAGATCATCTTCGGGTCTTTGTATTATAAAAATCCCTCAGGAAAAACAAAATACCTCCACAGTTGCCTACCGTTATAATGAAATGGGACTTACTTTGGAAAGAGTGCCTTCCCTTCTCCTACTCCTCCGTCCTATCCACCTGTGCCGGTAACAACCACAAAAGCAATGTTATACTGTTTATTGCATATTATATAATTTTGCGACCTCTAGCGAGGGAAGAGGTGCCAGGGAGGACAGAAATCGCTATGAGGACACACTGAAGACTGCTCTCAATTCTTTTGACATTAAAACAGCGACATGGGAGGCTGCCGCACAAGGCCGTTATGGATGGCGCACGTCACTCAGACATGGTGCATCGGCCTGCCAGGCAGCAGAGGTTGCACAGGCAGAGAACGGGAGGCAGACTAGAAAGAATCGTACTGCTAATCCCACACTTACTGCGGCTTCCATCTGTTGTCCGCACTGTTCAAGAACTTTCATGGTTCATATTGGACTAATCAGCCATCTTCGTGCTCATAATCATTGATTATTACTACTTTGGATGAAAGTGGTCTTCATCACGCGTGATGGACGAACAACATACATATAATTTTGCCACACATAGATCTTTTTTTTTTTTTTTAAAGTTTCTGGCGTTGGCGAACGAATTAATTAAATATATGTTTATTTCGACCAGAAAAATAATTTCAGTTAGGGAACATTTCGATTTGCAAGTGAAGTCAAATAACGAATTAGGTTGATGACGTAAGATAACAATGTATTGATTTACGCAATGGTTAATATTTCAAATACAGGACGGCTCATTATATTACTGTTATTATTACCACTATTTTTAGTATTGGGCACTTAAACAATGATAAGACCCCCGGAGAGCCACCCCCCCTCCCCCCCCCCCAGCATATTTACAATGGGGTTGCCCTTCATATCCACCTCTTATGCTTGTTTTCTTTGTGTCAACACCCTGAAAAATCCACATACCAATAATTAAATAATAGTGATGTTATGATAATATCGTTAGGACGACACAGTACTACAATAACACCTTCAAATGATAGTGATGTTATGATAATATCGTTAGGACGACACAGTACTACAATAACACCTTGCCTTACATCAGAAAGAACCCTACAGCGTTCTGCTTGAGCGTAGTCCTGTTGCCTATAATTTTCCAAGAGTTCTCTATCATTATTACATCCTTCAGCGTCAGTCCTGTTGTCGGATCCGGGGGGTCATCATCCACTTTTGGCGGCGCAGGTTTCTGGGAGCCGCCACAGCCCATGTTTGTGACCTGGAGATGTAGATTTCCAGCTAGAGGAATGTGTTCTGTCCGTTCTCGCGGGCTAGCAAAGCTTGTCAGTCTGTAGCTTGCTCCTGTCAATGGAAGTCGGGGATATCTGAACATACAAGTACGTCATAAGTAAGAATAGCATCCAAGGTTTAGGTTCAGGTTTCAACAACGGATCAACATTATGGCACAAGGGTGGTAACCTAAAAGTGATCCGTTCTACTTCTAACTCAAGACTGAGTCCAAAGAATGTCAGCACAGAGCACGAACTCCGTAGCCCGGAGAGAATCCTGAAAATACTTTAGGTCAATTTTAAACTCAAAATTTTGTCCGGGCAGCTACTCTTTTCGATTTTCAAGTGCCAATGGATTTTTTTTTACGTGCGCAATAATACACGCGGGAGTCCCACCTTACTACCCGGAGACCAGGGGAAATTATCAGAAACCCACGTAAAAATAATATATGTTAGTGGCGTATCCTTTACAGGACGTTGCAGAACCAACCCCAATAGCCCCTGGCTGTTGTGTGGTTTTTCTAGGCAAAGTTACGTCCAGTAGTTTGCCATTGCTTCTGGTCGGTCGGCTTTCTTGATACCACTGTTGAAACCAACGCAAGGCGCATGACCCGCGGCTGGGATCGAACCTGGCATCCCTGCATTATGAAGCGTTCACATCGACTTAGCCACAGAGCCGACAAAAATAATATTTATCATCCAAATTTAGGTTGAATGAAAACTGTAACTAAGTCAGATTTACAGTAACACAATAACGAGCGATAAAATTACCGTTGCGTCTGGAAATCCTTCATCAGCACACAATACAGACAGACAATAATACAGATAAGAATACACAATAAAAACAAGAAAGCGGTTAGTAAACGTTTTTTGTCCACAACGCAGAGATCACTACCATATATGGTGCTGACTGATTTCTAAGACTCGTCTGTAATCGACGGGCGCCAGCTTAGTATCACTCCGCGTTTACGCCAGATCATTAGCTAGAACTATTTCTGAAACATATGTTGCGTTTAGAGTTGTACCGAATATTCGCTTCGTATTCGCTTCAGGTCTGAATAGTAGACCTATTGACTATTCGGTATTCGGTCGAATAGTTGCGGTCGGGCCGAATACGAATAGTAGTTACCCTACACCCGCTTCTGCATACACGGCCTTAATGCTGACAACATAGAACGATTGGTTTTGTTGAAAGCTAATGCCGCTTTCATGCATTAACTAAGCTGTCAGTGACAATTTCCAAGTTTAGTTACTTGTTATAATACTTAGGATTCTTTCATTCCTAGCTATTAGTTACCACAGACTGACTGAAGGATGCAGAACATAAAATGTTTTTAAATGTTTATTATTCTGTACGAATACTAACTAGACATGGAAAGAATATAAACTCCGGCCATATACAAGTCGATTATATGAAAATCAAACGAACGGAAACATATAAGTTCTTGGGTGCAAACTTCAACTGCTCCAACATGCTCAGAGAAGAAATACAATCTAGAATACAATCTAAAAAACAATTATACTATGCCCTTTAAACTGCTAAGGTGAAAGTGTCTGTCTCGCAAGACCAAGATCAAAATATTTAAAACTTTGTTAAGACCAGTCGTTTGATATGGCTCTGAAAGATGAAGCAGAAATAAAAGAAATGAGGCCTTATTACAGGTTTTTGAAAACAGTCTTACGACAAATCTTTGGACTCATCGAAGATGCTTACAGCAGGGAATGGAGAGTGAGATGCAACACCGTAACACATAATCTGTTTAAATCACCATTGATCACTGGCATCATGAGAGCTAACACACTAAAATAGTTGGAGCATATTGAAAGCATGTCAGATGGCAGAGAAGTAAAAACTGTATACACCTGAGAAATTAATGGGCGTAGACCACGACGAAGACAGAAAAAGAAAAAAGTTCGAGAGATAATGTCCAGTCAGACCTGCAAACAACTGGTGTCACAAATTGTGAAGACAAGGCCAGCCAGAGAGATGAATGGAGACGAGTGATATCTGCAACAGTAAACCTCTAGGGCTCAGAATGCTAAAGAAGAAAAATATTCTGTGCTACTTTATGTGAAGTAAAATTTTAGCGTACATTTGACATTATAATTGTGTGTTTAAAAAAAAAAATAGATATATTGTATACACTATACACTATTTGTATTCGTATTCTTATTCGGCCGAATAGTTGGTCCCGCTGTTCGTATTCGGTCGAATAGTGAAAATCACTATTCGTTACATCCTGAGTTGCGTTATCACAACATACATCACCGCACACTCGACATTCTTATGCGTGCTCATTCCTCGGACGCAGCAGCACTCCAAAGTACCTCTACTGATTGTCCTTACAATGAGTTGGTTATAATGTTTCGTGTCTGGGCTTTGAAAACGTATTCTTCATGATTTACTCACAGATTACGCAATCACGTTAATGCCCGAGATTCACCATTATCCACTAGCCTGTGACTGTGGCCCTGTTAGGGTATATTTTCGGCCTCGATAATTTGGGACCGTTATTTTGAAGATAGCCCATACCAGTGATCTATAAATTTTTGACCTTCATTGTCAATTCTATGGCGACCAGCCACTCACCACACAGCTTCAGGAGAATAGACAATGAGCACTTCCTATGAAACTCACAGCTCAGCGTACCTCACGATGCACTCAACTCAGTAGCTGACCGAAGGGACCGGATTTCACCATTACCTCCTTTGTTGTCACATCCAGTTTCCTGCTAGGAGTTGAAACACCAGCCTTCCCCTGAATTATTTGGGCAGTCGACTTGACTCCACCGCTTTAAGATAAGTTGGCTTTATCAAGGGTCCCAATACTAGCTGTGCCAGTTGCGGTCTGATATGTTCCTGTGTGACAGATTTTCGAGACAGCAAGCTCCTAAACTCACAAAACAACTACAAACTGTAGCCTCAATAAACATATAAAACACTAATTAGACCACTTAGACTTCCAGTCCAATACGGAGGGCTAGGCTTGACATAATTTTTAGCTTCAAAGTTATTTTTGTTTCCCACAGCGCTTTGCTAATGCAGTTTCTACACATGGGCAGAAGTAGACGGTTTTGCTGCCTCTACTGCTGAGTTTAGTGCTTGACGCAGCACTGTGAGCTGAGTTTTTATTGTGGAATATCTTTCATTTGTGCAGTGGCTGAGCCGTGGTATTCAATCTAGCCGTTTTCCACGTTGGCTGGCAAATTACATTATGTAATCATTGTACGTGTATATAGCCAACCTATCGTGCCCGACTACTTTCATCAACGATAATCTGCCTCCCTGGTGGAGACTGTTGGCTTAAGCGCCTTTAGCAGCTGCCATTCTTTTACTGCATACCTACATTACCTGATTGTGCGAGGACTAATGTTTGTTCATCAGTGTTGCAAAATGGGCAGTGTGGGATCATTACTGACACAGGAACAGAGAAAGTATGAAGAAACTCGATTGTAGTGAAGTTGACAAATTGGAGAGACCACAACTATACACAAAGATGTTAAATGGGAGTAGACTACAAGGCTGACCAAGTAAAATGTGGAGAGGTCATAATAATGCAGAACTACAAACACATAGAGTCACCAAATAGACAGGGAAGCCCATAACAAAGATAAATGGAGTCGGGGAATACATTCATCAGTCAAACTCAAGCCTCCAGATGCTGAACAAGAAGAAGATGTATACATGAGCAGACAATTAGGACATTTCCACAGGTACTCAGTCCCTTCTTGAGCAGCAAAATAAGAGTTGACGTGCTAATAGTACCACTTGCAACCTGGTGATTAAAATTCTCCTCGATTTCCTTTTCAATGTTGAATATCTTCTAGAACATCTACACACCCCCTCCCGCCCCCACTCCCTTTCTTTTTACTCCAACCCTGTTGAATTAATCTTTCAGTGTACGGATTCCTTATCTGGTTTTTTCCCCTATCCATTTGATCCCATTGGGCCTTCACCTTATCCGCTTTATTATATACTAGCTCATCGCCCAGCTGCCAATCTATCAGCCTGCTCGTTACAGAAAATCCATGATGCGCATTTGATCAGTGTCTTATGCACGCAACTCTGCTCGCAGCACACCGGTATCAACTTTCAGAAGCATGCTCTGTAGGTCTGTTACAATTACAACATATCTGGCTCTGTTGCTCTTAAGCAATCAGAAAGCTGACGTCTCTGCCTCCACCTCCATTCTCACACTGGATGTAGTGACGTTATACGCGAGGCTCTCTGTTTTAAGCAGTATCCATTCACCTTTGCAAAAAAAAAAAAAAAAACTTACTCTTCTTACCTCTCTCTACCTCTCATCCCTATATATTATAATGTCACCTGGGCGTGAATTTTCATTAATCAGCTCTTGCACCGCTGACTCTGTTTCACCAGCTATCCATTTCCGGCACCCTCCGTCCAAAGTCCAAGTTTGTTTTTATGGGGGGCACTTTAACCCATTCTTCACCACGCACTATCTTGTCAGTAGCACAATCAGTTCTAATCGTGACTTTTTCCTTTGCCTTGAACAGACCTGATCCTGAAAATTCCCCTAGATATTCAACCAGCCTCTCAGGACATTGACATTATTATTGAACCACAAAGCAAACAAGAAATCCTTAAAGCTATCCACACTTTAAAGAACAACAGAGCACCTGGCAAAGACGAACTGCCATCAGAACTTCTCGAAAGTAGATCCCAACACAACTGCTAGCATTCTAGAACCATTGTTCAAAGATATTTGGGAAAAAGAAATGTTGCCTGATGACTGGACTGAAGGAACAATAGTCCAAATCTCCCAAAAAAACAGACTGCAAAAATTGGAGGAAAATTATTCTACTCTCATACCAAGCAAACTATTTTGTAAAATCATCATAATGCGGCTTGAAAAAAAAAGGAGTAGATAAATGCCTACGAGTACAACAAGCAGGATTCAGAAAGGGCAGAGGAACAATGAACACATCTTCGCCATACGTTACATTTTAGAACAATGCAA